GTGGGAGGAAAGACGAAGGGGGTGGGAGATGGAGGTAGTGCCAGATGTCACCGAGATAGAATCCAGTAGGTCACCGATATGATAGTCCAAAATGTCATTAAACAAGATCAAATGTCGTGGACAATAAGTCACCAATGTCAGAGATACAGAGTCCTAATGTAACCGGTGTCCAATCTGTGATGCAGCTGGTATCATCCCCAACAATCTCCAAGTCTCGAATCCAGTAAGTACCACAGCCTCTTACCACCGAAGTCCAACACTGATCTCTGTCCAACTAGTATCAAGTCTCCAGTCTGAAGAAGAAGAAGATGAAGCCTGAAGAAGAAGAAGGAGAAGAAGAAGAAGAAGAAGAAGAAGGAGAAGAAGAGATGGCAGAGGAGGAGGAGATGAGGAGGAGATGAGGAGGGGACAGCCGGTAGCCGTGGAGGGAGGAGAAGATCTCCTCGCCTCCTGGTACCTGACTTCGCTGTAGTCCGACTGCAGGTCGCGGCTATGGCCGCCGTACTGCCGAGGGCTGCTGCCCAACTCCTGGCTCGTCGCTGCTGCTGCGCTAGCTCGCGCCGCTGCTGCTGCTCTTGCACTAAGAATAGCGCTGCTGCCTCAACCGATACGCACTGGTGCTGATGCAGCATGCCAGTGGCTCGATGCCTCATACTGAGGCTGAACCGGTCTTTTGTACCGGTGGAGAAGAGGCCGGCCTCAATGCTGCGAGGCCTGGCCGTGACCTGAACCGTCAAGATCGACGGTTCAGATCAGACCGGCGGGCGGCAGCCTCAAAAGCGCCGCCAGGCCCAAACGGTAATGTCGTTTGGGCCTGCCCGTCGGGTCTGGTCCAAAACTGAGGCCTTTACGGCCTGCTGTACCCCAAGTCCGGGCCTTTAGGCCCTGCTGTGTCCCTCTAGCCCTAAGTCGGGTCCGGTAGGACCCGTGTGGTGTCGAAGATGTAACACACTCCCCCTCTTAAAAGACCGAGCTACCTGCGAGGGCGGAGTTGTCTGTCCGATACCGGGGTGGGTCGGGCGGGACGAGCTACTTCCTTGGCAAGGGGTGCAGAAGTCTGGAAGTCTGCGCTAGAGATCCACCGAGTGTCGTCAGGCGCACATTGCTTGAATGTGACTTTGAACTGCATTGGCTTGTTGCCATACTTGCGGTGCATGATGACTCGCTCCACTTCCTGATGTCCGTCCATAGAAGGCGGATCCTGTGATCGACGTCCGGGAAACTCGTCGGCGGAAGGTGGCGTGTAGATGGCCAACTTCGACGCGTGGAAGACCCGGTGCACTGGAAGGTGCGGAGGAATGTTGACCACAAAGGAAGGACCTGCGGGGTCGTCTCCAACAGCAAAAGTAACTTCCCATGGTGCGAACCATTTTGGAAGGAGTTTGCGCGAAACGTCCTGCTCGAGCGCAAATTCCTCGGAGAGGACCCAAACAAGGACATGGAAGTCGACGTCGGTTAGCCTGCTGCTGCATGCGGATCTGAGCCTTTTGTATATTCGCGCGGGCTTTGATCAGCAAGTCCCGGTACTTCCGAACGGAAGCGGGAGAGCAAGGGACGTCTATGTCGGCGGCCTGTGGCAGAAGGAGATCAGCGAAGATCCGTGCTTTCTCTCCACCATGATGTAGCTCGAATGGTGTGACGCAGATCGCCGGATGCACCGAAGTGTTGTAGGCGAACTCAATGTCGGGAAGCCGATCAACCCAATCTTTCTGGTCGGGACGGATGAGCGTACGCAACATCATCTGAGCGGTCTGGTGTGCTCGCTCCGTCTGACCATCCGTCTGCGGGTGTCGAGCCGAGCTCGGCTTCATTGTCGTCCCGAACTCAGCCATAAGGGAAGTCCAAAAGGCCGACATGAAGCGAGTATCTCGGTCGCTCACTATATCTTCCGGAACACCCTGGTTGGTAGTCCAACCGGTGTGCAAGAATCGTGCGAGCTCAGGTGCTGCAGCATGATACTTGCACGGAAGGAAGCGAGCATACTTACTTAAACGGTCAACGACCGTGAGAATACCGTCATGGCCGTGGCGATCGCGGGGAAACGGGCCTGTCACGTCCATAGCAATGGAGAGGTGCGGTGCCCGAGGAATCGGCAACGGTTTCAGTTCGCCGAAGGGGACTCGAGATCGACCCTTGTTACGGTGGCAAACTGCACATGACTCAATGTACCTCGTGACGTCATGAAGGACGTCGGGCCAGTGAAAACACTGGCGGAGGCGTGCTAACGTGCTGTTTACGCCAAGGTGTGTCGAAAGTCGTGTGTCGTGGAATTCGCCGAGAAGACGAGTCCGTAAGATGCGATCTTGGGGCACAACTAACAAGTCCTTTCCTCTCGTGTGAAGGAGAAGGAACCCGTCAGAAATCCGATAGTGGCTAGCTGGCGGGTGATCCGATGAAAGCTCTGCGTAAAGCGTAGAGTAACTCGGGTCGGACTTGTAGCCTTTGACGAAATGCGGTTGCAGATCGTCATCGAGGTCGAATGCCGTGGTCACAATGACACAAAAATCGGGCCGTCGTGAGAGGGCGTCCGCAGCTCGATTGGCAGGACCGAGAATGTGGCACGGGTCAAAGTCGAACTGGTCGATGTAATACATTCATCGATCGATCGTGCTAGTGACCGTATCCTGCGTTTTATAAAAGGTCAACGGATTGTTGTTCGTATTCCATTTAAAACGCCGACGACCGAGAAGAAAGTGGCGCCACCGTTTGAGAACGGTGACGAACGCGAGTAGCTCTTTCTTCCTGGCGTCGTCGAGAGTGTTGACGAGAGGCACCTTTTGGGAGAAGTACTCGACCGGATGCCAACTGTCCTCGTGACACTGTTCCAACACCGCACCAATACCATATCCCGAAGCGTCCGTAGTCACTTGGGTGGGAAGGGTGGGGTCCTATATACGGAAGGCAGGTGCGGCTTGCATCGCTGCCTTCAACGTAGTGAACGCGCCACGGGCTGCGTCGTCGAACTCAAAGGGCACCTTCGGGGACTGAAGTCTTGACAAAGGAGCGATCACTTTCGAGTATGACTCGACGAATCGCTGATAATATCCAGCCAAACCCATGAAAGAGCGTACATCCGTCGTGCAACGGGGTTCCAACCAATCCACGATGGCTTGGATCTTGTCCGCTAAGGGACGAATGCCTTTCGGCGTGACAAAGTGACCCAAGTACTCAAGCTCCTGCTTGGCGAACTCGCACTTGTCGAGATTCGCTTTGTACTTGGCCAATCGCAAACGATCCAAAATAGTGCGAAGGTGTGCGATGTGCTCGTCCAACGTCCTACTATAAACCAGGATGTGCTCGAGGTAGATGAGGACGCTGCGATCGAGCAAGTCGCGAAACTCAGTCGTCATAGCTGCTTGGAAAGTCGCGGGGGCATTGGTGAGGTCAAATGGCATGACAACCCACTCGAAATGCCCGTACCGCGTCTTGAATGTGGTGAGGCTGGATTTCAATCTGGTGGTAACCTGACTTCAAATCCAACTTCGAGAAGTACGTCGCGCCGCCTAACCGCTGAAGGAGATCATCAATCCGAGGGAGAGGGCCGGCGTTCTTTACGGTTTGTGCGTTAAGTTTCCGATAATCGATGCATAACTGTAGATCTTTGTTCTTCTTCCGGACGAAGAGAACAGGGGCACCGTAAGGCGAACAACTAGGCGAATCCAGCCCTTGTCGAGAAGGTCATCGAGTTGTGCGCGAAGCACCTCGAGTTCCTCTTCGCTCATGCGGTAAATACATCCACTCGGAGGGACAGCACCAGCCTCGAGAGTGATCCCATGACGTATGGGCCGATCCAGAACCGTTCCGGTGGGAGCCTCTAAGACGTCTCTATACTCGTCCAAGAGGTGAGAAATGCGTGGGTCCGGCGGTGACGCAGCTGGTCCGTCCGGCGAGGGGAGAGCATGCAAGAATACAAGGCCCATCTCCTCGACGTCATTCCGAGCTATGGCGTCACGAATTCTCGCAACGGAAACCACATGACAAGCAATCGAAGTGTGAGGGGCCGCGACCGTGCATGGGACTAACACTCCGTTCCGATCACGGATGTGAACGGTCCGGTCGTGGAAGTTCACCGGATGATTGGCGCTACGCAACCAAGACATGCCTAGAATCATGTCGAACTTGGTGTCGAGGATGTCGAAAGACACCGGCTCGCAAGCAAGTGGTGCAAAGTATACCGGAACGCTGTCGACCCATTGGTCAATTGACTTTTGCGTGCGACCGTCCGCGAGTGTAACTTGCGTAGGTTGCGTCTTCCTTCGAACGCGCGGGCCAAGGCCTGTGCGGGCCATAAAGGCTTGGCTCATAAAGTTGCGAGATGCTCCGCAATCAATCAAGGCACTACAGGTTGACTTTCTGATTTGAATGCGGATATAGAGCAAAGGCGCGTCGGTTTCGGCGTACCTTTGGGTGACGTACTCGTGGTCGATCTTCGCAAGATAGGAGCGGAGGTCAACAACCGCTACCCCGTCGTCCGTCAACGGAGCTGGTACTGTAGCGTGCAAATAGGATCGTAAATCTGCCATCAAGGTATTGCAATGCGGCCTTGGCAAGGTTCCGGTTGAGGGTAGAGGCATCCAAGCGAAGTCCTCTCTCGTGAGCGGGTCAAGCTCCTCAAGTCTTGACCATGCCGTCGAGTCCTCGAAAATCAGTGGCGAGCTGACCGGATCACTTGCCGACGGTGTACAGGCTGCGCATACGCAATCTAAGTGCACGTGGCTCGACTGGTCTAATGGTGGTACCGACTGGGTGGCATAATCCTCGTACGTAGCACGAGAATCAGCGACTAACGCATGCTCCCCGGTAGTGACATCGATAGCTAGCAAGGCAACCGGTTCCGGCGGAGTGAGGAGAGACGTTGCCCCTCTCCTTGCGTAACTCAGTTTCCCGAGTTAGCTGGACGGGGTACGCGTGCCTTGCCCTTTTCGGGGCATTGTGCGGTCAAGTGAGTGACCCCATTGCACCAAAGGCAATATCCGTACCGTTGACGAAGGTCATATACTTCCTTGGTTATCTTGTATGCCGTCCATGGCTGCTGCCCAGTTCCCGTCAATGTCGTCGCTTGTGTCGCCTTGTTCTTTCAAACTCTCTTGGGATGCTTCGGAGGGAGCGCTGCGACAGTTCCTCCATCACTCGAGGATGCTGCTGCAACGTGGAGATCAACTGATTCTTCAGAAATCACGACATTGTTATGTGTCTGTCGTTGGTAGCCCTGCTTAGCCACATAGTGCGGCTGGGACTGCTTTTCGTTGGCGGCCTTGTCGTCCATTTGGATGACCAGGTTCGCACGATCCAGAATAGCCTGGAATGAGGCATAATCGTACTCGTTGTCGAGTGCGGTTCGCAGTCCTGCGCACGATCGCGAGAAGAACTCGGATCGTTGGTTTGTAAAGCTCAAATCGAAGCCTGGTGTGGTCACTATCTTTTGCCACTTGATTGTCCAGTCTCGAGTTGGCATGTTTCCCTGTGAGCAAGTGTAGACCTCGTTCATGGCCGCCTTCACAACGTTGCGGACCATGAATCGAGTGAACCACATCTGTTCAAAATCCTCCCACGTGAGGTGTTTATATAACTCGGCGATAGTGGTTCCCTTATTAACTGCGAGATTGTTCATCCACGTCTGCGCACCTCCAATGAGTTGGAGGTATAGTGCCTTCAGCATGTCTTCGGCCGGGACCTTGTGGCAGGACGCTTCGGTGAGGAAGGCTTGCCACCATGTCAAAGCGTCGGTCTTGTTGTAGTCCTCGAACTTGTCGATGTTGAAGCGTGGCATCTTGTATACCTTCGCAGTTGTTGCCGGTTGCGACTTCAGCTTGGTGATGTCCGTTTTGATGGCGACCACCGTGCTGCTGATCGTAGTCGGACTGGTGAAGTCACTTAGTTCGCCGATTAGACTGACGGCATGGTCGATGCGCTCGTTGAGCTGTTTCGCCATGTAAGTCGTGCAGCCTGGCACTGCTGAGGCTTTAGCCTCGATGCTGTTGACGCGTGCGGTGGTGGTGCTCAACAGCTGTTGCTGTTGTTGCTGATGTGTGGCGGCAGCGCGAACAGCGGCTGTTAAGGCTGCAGCATCTTTCCGTTGAGTCTGTCGCAGTTGTCAGCCCTCATTTATCTGCACCGTTAACATCCTATTGGTCCACATTACCGCCCGCATCACGTTCAGCATCAGGTCTGCCAGGTTACTCCTTTCTTCCTCCGCCGGTGTCGGATCCGCCTGTGTATCCGAAGGCACAAAAAGCATGTCTTGGAGCAGTGTCGTCCAGTGACTCTCGTTCTGAGTCAAGGCCTCCATGCTGATGGCGTTCCGCTTATCTCGAGCCACGGCGTCAGCCTCAGTAGTCCGCTGAGTTTGGGTTGCCGCCTCACTGGCCAGCCGCTGACGTTCCGCCTCTGCTGCCTCTTGCTGTGTCTTTGCGGTAGCTACGACATCCGTGAATGCCTGTACCCGCTGAAGGTAAGCCGACAACGGCTCACTGGCCCCTTGGACCGGACATGCGGGAAGAACCCCGGTGGTGACTGGTACTGCCGTAGTTGTACTTGATGCCGCTGCAGTCGTCCGCCTGCTGAGTCGCTGTTGCTGATACTTAGACCGTGGAGGTACCACAGAATGGCTACGAACTGCGAGCCTGGCACTGCGTCGAGGCAGTGCCCCGGTGTCCTGTTCCGTCGACATCAGCCTGAGTTGATGTGGTACTTGAGAAGTCCCGGTGGTCACAAAATACGGGGAGGGCAGGGAGAGTGGGAACAGGGGTAGGACAATCAAGCAATTTACATACAGTCCCTGTCCCAATATGGACAAGACACCTAATAAACCAGAAAAAATAGCTTGGTCGAAAAACAACTCAAAATTTCGTAATAAGAAAATAATAACGAATTAATAATCAATAAAGTTTAATTAATGTGTAAGGAAAATAAGCAAGAGCGAGATGACAAACCCAGATCACACCATCACATTGCAAGTCAAATAGTCACACCGTGTCCAGATAGCAGCCTTGCACCAATAATACACCAATGGAGTTTCGTAGCACTGAAAACCAATGTCCGTGGAGAGCACACTCTCTCCTCTCAACACAAGAGTCCAGTTCCCTTACACTCACACTTGGCGCTCAGCGCCCAGCCTACTTCTACACAACTACTCCAGACTACAAAAAGACAATGCAACTGTTGACATCAGCAGCAGCCCGAAGTACTTGAAGATGCCGCCCATGCAGA